TTGTTTATGTTCTCCTTCTCAGAGTATTTTTTTCCTAACATACCTCTGTGCAAGCAGGCTGGGGCAGTATGTATCATATTACTATCAAGTGCTGACACAGATACAAGACAGACTTGCTGGCTAATTGTTTTTGCTACTGAAGACTCTTTGGGGGCTTTCTTCTCAGTGCCAACCTTCTAAATACTCTCTTAAGCACTCAAAATGAAAAACTGTGTTATTTTTCTACTCAACTGCCAAACAGCAGATAAACAAAGGCAGGGGGAAATTCTACTAACCCAGGGAGAAAACAACATACAGCATCTATTCCTAGTAAGTTTAGATCTCTAAGATCTACAAAAAACTCAAAGTTATACTTAGGAAAGTACAGAATAGACATACTTTCTAGAAGTGAGATAAGCTGTCAAGTATTTCCTACTACTGGCACACTAGAATTAAGAGATTTCTATTAGAAAATGATAACCTTTGGCTTATGAATCATTACAAGAATCCTTTTACAATGCAAATACTTCTAGGTAGAAGCAGGTTGGTATGGCCTGTATATGTGATCAATAATGCTGGGGTGGCTGTTCATGACTGACATCAGTCTTGATTATTCAGTGCTAGTTTCTTACCAAATGTTAAACATAGAGCCTACAACTGCATCCTGAAGACCCCACCTCAAGACTCATCTGCATAGATTTAGAACTAAAGGAGATTTATATAAATATCGCCTAGTCAAATTCTTGCATCACATTTAAGATATTCATTTTTATGTATATTTATACATTCATTCATTCAACCAGTATTTACTGAAGACCTACTATGTGCCAAACATTCCTCCAGGAACTTGAGACACAGAATGAACTATGTAGATGAAAATCCAAGCCTTCTTATGGTTCACAAGGTATTAGGGAGGCATCAACAACCAACAACACCTAAGTTAAATGTATTTTTTACTTGGTTGCTTGAGTATATCAAATGGTAATTAGTATTATTGATACAAATATAATGAGGAGGAGGGATAGAATATGCTATACAGGAAGTTGAGCAGGTAGGAGTTTTAATATCAGTGATCACAGAAGTCCTCACTGAGGAGTTATCACTGAAGAGAAGGCTTGAGGGAAGGGAACAGCACACTGGGCAACCCTCTGAGCAAGAGAGGCATCTTATTCAGAAAGAAAAGAAGGTATAAAGGTCAAGAATTCGTCTGATTTCTTTACAAAAAGAAAAAGAGCAATAAGGACAGAGTTTTTAGTGCAGGGTGAGCAAAGGTGAAAGAAGTAAGAGATAAAGTTCAGCGGATCAGCACGGGGCCAGGTCATCACACAGCCCTTGTGGCCTTTGTGAAGACAGGATTTTACTACTAGAGAGATGAGAAGCAAATGAAAGGTTTGGACCAAAGAGTGACATGCTCTTCTAAACTTTAGAGGCTTCTTCTGCTGCTATGTGGAGAACAGAATGAAGTGCAGGAAAGACAAAAGCAGATAAAAAAGGAAGAAGGTTATTGCATTAATCAAGGCAAGAGATGCTAATGGTATGCACACAGTGGCCCTAGTGGGATTTGTGAGATGTGGACAGATTATGGATATATATCAATAGTAGAACCAATAGGTTTGCTAACAGATTAATGATAAAGAATAAGAAAGAAAGAAAAAAGATAAAAATGACTCTAAGCAAGAAAGATGGTGTTTTCATTAAGTGAAATGGAGAGACTGAAGAGAGAGCACGTTAGAGCAATGATGACGATTAGGAGCTCAGTTTGGGGTGTTATAGATGTATAAATGTGATGTCCCTGATAGATTCCAAGGAGAAGAGCTAACTGGCCAAAAAAAAAAAAGGAAATAGATGCTCTGAGAAGGTGTGCATTCCATCAGGTTATCCAATCCCAAAGGCACTCTCAGTGTGGGACAAAAAAAATAGCACCTGAGCAGAAGAAAGAGAGTCCCTTGAAGCTAAAGTAAGGCAGAGGCAAAGTCAAGTTCTGCCTTCCTCATAATCTGGCTGGGAAATGAGAGGACAGACCAGGTGAAAGATCATAAATCAGAAGAAAATGAAAAATGTTACCCGACCACTAGCTTCTAATATTCATTTTCCATTAAATTCTTGATTGTGTCTACTAAATGTATTTGAGCATTAAACATTCTTTAAAGATATGTCTGATGGCAATGTGAAGAGAGAATGCATGTGAGCTAATGTGGCAAAAATGTATTTAAGCTGCTCTACCCACATGGGCCATAGACACCTGGATACCAAATCTCAGAGTCCCTTAGATTTCCTGCATACAGTTCTTGGAGTTTAGACTGGGAACAAAACTTTCCCAGGATACCAAAGCAGATGGGATCTGATGGCTCTTTGGCAGAGGTAGTGGGAAGAATTTTTCTACTTGGGGCTCTTTACTCAAAGAATATCTTGAGAAGGGTGAGTTTCTTGACTATTCATATAGTGACAATACTTTTTTAGTATTGATCTAAAAGAGTGCCCAATTTACAACCTTCTCCAAAGCCACAAACCAGAAAGTCATGCGGTCAAGCTTTGGCTTCAGCAAATTTAAAGAACAACTATAAACTGGAGCATATTTACCAGATTTGCCAAGAAACTAGGAAAGAGGCCAAAAAAAGAGGAAAAAAAACATAATGGGTGACCTAATAGAGACATCTAGGTATCCCACCTATGTATGTTCTCCATTCCCACACAGCCAATTGGCCATTGGGGCAATAGAGAGATTTCAACTAAGAAATAAATGATTTCAACTTTTCAAGTCTCCATTTCATTAAAATCTATTTATCAAAAATCTGCATGTCTTGTGTACTTTGAAATATTGGAGTATCTAATTCATAACAGGCACCAGCTACTTACAGGGAAGAAGTAAGATGTTCTTCATAGTTAAATGTGAAGAATTAAGAGTGATTTGAGAAAGAAGTGTCTGCAAAAGATGACTCCAATTCCAAAACATAAAAGAATTGTACCAGTCGGTTGCCTATTGTCTCTTAGCACCAAGCCAACCCGTCCATACTCTGCTCCTTTGCACTAGATTTTCAATATTCTCTTGCCAGATGGATTCCTGCTATCTTCTGTCAAGTAAAGGGGACTGGTGTGAAATTGGAAGGCAGGGGGAGGGAAGAATGAATTTTTTCTACTTGTAGTTCCTGTTAGTTTTTCTCCAGAAGCATAAAATAGTTACAGTACCAGTGAAGCTACACTTCCAGAGGCACAACCACCAGCTGTCTGTGCTCCTTCAGCGACAGAGTATGAGTGACACCATGCCATCTCCAAAGAGCATGAGTCTCACACCATCTTTCCCTCAGAGGTCTGAACATCAGCCAAGTGGCAGCCTTCTTTAGTGATCCACCAACAGCCACATAATATATGCCATTCTAAAATCATAGCACTAACTACACAGATCAGCCCTCTGAGATGCTAAGTATACCAGCCCCCATTTGTTCCTTCAGGAACCTGCTATCTGCAGGTACTGATTTTGAACTTACATCAGCATTCCTTTCTGCCCCTTCAAACATCTGATGCTACTCTGTTATAGTTTTAAAATACATCAGAAATTCATTGATACTCTTCTCTCTCTAAAAAAAATGGATTTTAATTCATCTCTCCTGGAGTGTAGAGAGAACTTAGGATCTTGCTTCTGATGACCGGTCTATGATGTAAATGATAGTATGTAACTAGGTCATAAAAGGTATCATGGCTTCTTCATGCTTTCTCTCTTAGATCACTCTGGGGGAAGCCAACTGTTAGGTCATGAGAACACTCCAACAGCTCTGTGGAGAGGTCTGCATGTAAAGGAACTGAGGCTTTTTGCCAAATGCTAGCAAGAAATCAAGGCCTCCTGTCAATAGCCATGTGAGTGGGTCATCTTGAAATAACATCCTCCACATCCAAGCCAAGTCTTTAGATGACTCCAATTCCAAAAACTTGATTGCAATGTCATGAGAGATTCTAAAGTCCTCCTGATTCATGAACCTCAGAAACTGCAAGATAATATATGTTTGTTGTTTTCATTGAGGTATACGACAACAAATAAATAAAACACCAAGTAGCCAATTCTTTCTATAAATGTCCTCCTTTGAAATATCCATCATGGTTTTTTGTTGGTCCTGGATTAATAGCATACTTAGTACCATGAATAGTGCTAAGACACTGACCCTCAAAAGACAAGATTCTGTAATTGGGTTGCTCACCTCTTTAACTTTGAACACAGCTATAATCTCCTTGCCAATGGCTGATGGCATCCTGGTAATCTGTAGCAAGCAATAGAATCAAGATGACTTAAATTATTACCTGTGGCTGCTTGAGATGGGTTGTCTATTGAAGGCAAGGCTTTGAGTGACAAAGTGGATGAAGAACTTGACAGTTACAGAAATAAGTACAACTATAAGAACTGGGGATGAACTTTCTTCTGAGATCAAGCCACAGAGACCAGAAAGTGTCTTTGTGCCCATAAAAGAACCTCTTATTTATTGGAGTCATAAGGGAGAAGTGACTAAAAATCAAACCTATAATATAATTATGTAAATCACAGGATTATAATAAGATGAATTTACAAATAGACCAAGTTTCTGTGTGAAAATTCACATGTTGTTTGGAAAGAATGGATGCCTGACACTTGGAAGAAGACAAGGTTGAGTATTTTTAATCTTATATTCCTAGACCTCACTTGCTAGCAGAATGACTACCACATTTCAAGTGCAGCCATCTCCCCTTACTTGAATACTTTGTGATAACCTCATATAAGATGGCTACCTTTGAAAAGTATGCCTATTCTCCTTATCACCTGTCACTACCTCAAGATCTGTATCCAGAGTTAAACCTCAACATGCTCCAGGGAGGCTATAACCAAGGCATATCTGGGGCAAGAGAGTTCATAGTGCAGAAGAATAGCAAGAAGTTGAAAATATACATTGGCATGAAGTTGGAAAATAGATGTGAGAATGAACTCTAAGGGTATTAGATCCAGAATGATTAAATATAAACTTAGATCAAATCAAATACATTATTATGGCTTAACTTACCAGAGAATGAAGTAACTGTGAAGGATCCCAACAGGTTGGCTGATTATCTGAAATATGGACTCAAAGGTGACTTTGTTCAATCAAGATGAGATTCCAGAAGCTCCTTGACAGAAACGAGAAAGAAAACTTAGGAAGATAGGAACGTTGGAGAGAACCTGACTACCCACCCTCCCCTTGTTCCTTGAGAATATCCAGGGTATGCTCCCTTCACTAAGGCATCTAGATAGATGTTGGGTGGAACATTAATCTAGAATAATCCTGTATTGAGTGGCTGTCTTTGTAAGCTAAGGATGCTAGGGGGGAAAATGGACAGGTAGGAGCCAAATAGTAGCATTTAACCACTGAAGACAAAACAAGTATGATTTACATAATGAACAATCATGTTTGACCTGCAGGTAAGGTCTTCAATACTGACTAAATAATCACAATGTTTCAACAATACAGATTAGTGTATGTATATGTGTGTATGTGTGTGTGTGTGTGTGTGTGTATATATATATATATATATATATATATATATATATATATGATTAAATATAAACTTAGGTCAAATCAAATACATTATTATGACTTAACTTCCCAGAGAATGAAGGAACTATGAAGGATCCCAATAGGTTGGCTGATTATCTGAGATATGGACTAAAAGATGACTTTGTTTAATCAAGATGAGATGCCAGAAATTATATACATGTATTTATATAGTGAATAGAAGAACTAAATTAAGAGGAAACCTGACTTGGATCACCACAACAGTAAAGCATGTCTTTTAACCCAGTTCATCTCTAAGCAAGTTCTTAGGCTCAAAGTTTGGGGTCCCTTTTCAGAAAGCGAATTCAGGATTGCCAAAATCATATTCTAGAATATTCCTCTACAACTTCCACAAGGGTGGGTCCAATTTAACTCTCCTTTTCAACCTATATATAAGTCATTTGGAACATGGGTATTTGTAGAGTTATTCAGGTGACAATTTCAGCTTCAGCAGTTGCTCCAGCTATGGTATCTTATAATGAGATCCTAGTATATAGCTATTGACCAGGAAAATGCCATTTTATCTCTGTTGAATTGCAAGTTCCACCCCAAGTAGTTTGTTTCACCAGGCAGGAATAGCAATGTACCTTCACAGTCTTGTCTCAGAAATAACTCTTCCATTGTTTGCCATAATCTAGTCCACAGAGATCATAATCATCTTGGCATTTTACAGAATACCACAACATCAACTACATTGATGAAATTGTGCTTAATGGGCCTTTAAGTGCCCTAGAAACATGCATTCCAGAAAGTGAGAAATTAACGTTACAATTTTTCAGAGACCTGCAACTTAACTGGTTTTTAGATATCCAACCTGCCTACTGATAACCATTGACCATAGATCATCCATCAAGCAAGAGGTCTGGAATAGATAGATGATCACATATGATTTTACATAGCCTTTTTCCTATTGAAATCTAACTTAGTCTATTCTGTTTCAAACATTTATTGGTTTGAAACAAAGAGCAGGGGTAGTTTAGCAATAGTTGTTAATAGAACTTTATATGTGAGAATAAAAGTTTAACATATAAATTATCCCTTTGAAAATTAGTCTTTTAGAAAAATAAAGAAAAATGGAGACTAATTTTTAAAGAGCCTCTTTCCTTTTTCCACCTCCATGTAACAGAAATAGACATTAATAAGAGCATCTATTTGTCAAATTTGTTTGGTGCTATTCAGGCTGCTATAGCAAAATGCCTTAGACTGAGTAACTTATAGATAATACAAACTTATTTCTTATAGTAATGGAGGATGGAAAGTCCAAGCTCAAGGTACTGGAGTAAGAGTTTAATCTCTGCTTCCAAGATGGTACTTTGCTTCATTCTTATATGGCAGAATGGTAGGGCAAATTGAGGAACTTTTTCCCTTGGTGCATTATAATTATATATAATATTGGGTTGTTGCTACATATGTGTACATTCATACAATATAATAATATTGTTAATATTATTAGGTCAATTTCATTCCCTAATTCCTCCCTTTTGCCTTCTTCTCTCCCCCTTACTGTATCCTACTGGTCTCCCTTCTACTTTTATAAGATCCTTTCACCACCTTTCCCCATCCCCCTTTTTTTTCTCTGTAGCTTCTACATATGACAGAAAACATACAACCCTTGGCTTTCTGAGTTTGGCTTATTTTGATAAATTTAATGTCACAAATTTCATTTGTTTTTCCCCAAATGACATAGTTTTTCATTCTTTTTTTTTTTTTGTGGCTGAGTAAAACTCCATTGTGTATATTACACTGCATTTTCTTTATCCATTCATCTATTAACAGACTTATAGGCTGGCCCCATAATTTGGCTATTGTGAATTATGCTGCTGTAAACATGAGTCTCAAGTCTTATTTATGTAAGGGCACTAATCTCAGCTATGAGGATGTAGTCCTCGTGGCCTAATCCCTTCCTGAAAGTTTCTCTCTCTCTCTCTCTCTCTCTCTCTCTCTCTCTCTCTCTCTCTCTCCATTAGAGTTATACATAATATTGGGGTTCACCAGCTATACCACTTCTCGGGATTTATTCTGAAGAATTAATCATCATATTACAGTGATACATTTGTAAACCCATGTTTATAGCAGCATAATTCACACTGGCCAAACTATGGAACCAGTCTAGGTGTCCATCAACGGATGAATGGATAAAACACATGGTGTTTATACACAATAGTGTTTATTCAGCCATGAAGAAAAATGAAATTATGTCATTAGCAGGAAAATAGATGGAACTTAAGTACATTAAGTTCTTAAGCCGAAGTCAACTCAGAAGGTCAAGGGTCATATGTTTTCTCTTATATGGGAAACTAGGGAGGAAAAGGAAAAGAAAGATGGGGGCAGATCTCATGAAAATCAAAGAGAGATCAGTAGAAGAAAGGCACCAAGGGGTAGGAGGTGGGAGGGAGGGGGAATGTGCTGAAGAGTTATAATGGCCAAATTATATTGTATGTTATGAATTGTGTGCATGTATGAATATATAACAACAGATCCCATCAGTATGTACAATTATAATGAACAAACAAAACAAAAAAAAGAAAAAATATTAAGGTTCATTTTGGCATAATTATACAAGCATGGACTATAATTTTCTTCAGTTCAGTCCCCAGTACTTTCCATCCCTTCCTCCCTCTCTTATTTCCTTTCCTCTATTGGTCTTCCTTTTATTTACTTACAGTTTATTTGTTTTGTTTTATATATTTGTTTGCTTAGTTAGTAATTTGTGTATATACATAAAGGTAAAATTTCCTGTAGTATATACATATACATATACATACACAGAATAGTTTGGTCAATTTCATTCCATCATATTTTCCTTTTCCCATTCCTCCTTCTTTCCCTTAAATATCCTCTTCTATTTTTATGGGATTCTATCCACCTTATTTTGGTAGAACTTCCACATATGAGAGAAAACATCTGACCCTTGACTTTCTGAGTCTGGCGAATTTCACTGAGCATGATGTTCTCCAGTTCCATCCATTTACCAGCAAATACCATAATTTTATTTTTTTATGACTAAGTAAAATTCCACTGTATATGTATACCACATTTTCTTTATCCATTCATCTGTCGATAGACATCTGGCTGGTTCCATGACTTATACTGTGAATTACACTGCTATAAATATTGATGTGGTTGTATCACTGTAGTATGTTGCTTTTAGTTCTTCTGGCTAAATATCAAGAAGTGGGCTAGCTGGGTCATATGATAGTTCCATTCCTAACTTTTTGAAGAATCTCCATTCTGCTTTCCAGAGTTGTTTTACTAATTTTCAGTCCCACCAAAAATGTATGAGTATAACATTTCCCCCACATCCTCACCAGCATTTAATATTATTTATATTCTTGATAATTGCTGTTCTGACCGGAGTGAGATGAAGTCTCAATGAAGTTTTGATTTGCATTTCCTTAGAGAGGTTGAACATTTTAAAAATATATTTGTTGGCCATTTGTATTTCTTCTTTTGAGAAGTATATATTTAGTTCTTTTTCTTGTTCAGTGATTGGGTTGTTATTTTGGGGAGGAGGTGTTAAGTTTCTTAATTCTTAATATGTTTTGAATATTAATCACCTGTCTGAAGAACCTGTGGCAAAGATCTCTCATTCTGTAGGATCTCTCTACATGCTCTTAATTGTTCCCTTTGCTGTGCAAAAGCTTTTTAGTTTTATCCTGTCCCACTTATTGATTCTTAGTTTTGTTTCTTATGCTTTAGGAGTCTTGTTAAGAAAGTTATTGTATATGTCAATATGTTGGAGTGTTGAGCCCTTGTTTTCTTCTAACAGTTGCAGAATTTCTCATCTAATTCCTAGGTCTTTGATCCACTTTGAGTTGATTTCTGTGCAGGACAAGAGATAAAGATCTAGTTTTGTCCTTCTGTGTATGTACATCCAGTTTTCCCAAGACAATTTTCTTAAAAGCCTATCTTTTCTCCAATGTATATTTTCAGCATCTTTGTTGAGTGTTAGATGACTGTATCTATGTTGATTTATATCTATGTCTCCTAATGTCTCCTATTCTATTCCATTGGTCTTTGTTTGTTTTGGCAACAATGTCATGCTGTTTTGTTACTATAGCTCTATAGTATAATTTTGGCAATTCATACATTTGAATCATTGGGGTATAATTTCTCATTTTTCTAATTGTACAGATTGCATAATCACACTGGTCATAGAGTCACCTATATACATACAGCAATCATAATGTCTATTCTATTTCTGCTGCCCTTCCTATCCTCCCTACTCCTCCCCTCCCCTCCCATCATTTCTCTCTATCCAATCTAATGTGACACACTTTTTTTTGTCAACCCATCTATAGTATAATTTGAGGGTTGGTATTTTGATACCCCCAGCATCACTCTTCTTGCTTAGGATTGCTTTGGCTATTCTGGGTCTCTTATTCTTCCAAATGAACTTTAGAATTGTTTTTCCTAGTTCTGTAAAGAACGTCATTGCTATACTGATTGGGATAGCATTGAATCTGTATATTGCTTTTGGTAGAATGGCCATTTTGACAAGATTAATTCTGCCTATCCACGAACATGGAAGGTCTTTCCGTCTTCTAAGAACTCCTTTGGTTTTTTTCTTCAGTGTTCTATAATTTTAATTGCAGAGGTTT